CCCTTCCCCGGACGCGCCACAAGGCCTGGGCCGCGAGATGTTGACGCGCCAGCCACAGAGAGGGCGCGCTCACGCGCGTGAGGGGGGCGGAGGGAGCGCGCTCTGCCCCCGACGCGGCGGCGGCAACCGAAACGGAGAGACTGGAGAGCGGAGGGCGCGAGCCGGAGGGGGGGCGGGAATGCTGAGCGCGCGCTGACGTCGCCTGGAGTCACGCACGGAGCGCCGGGTTACGCGCCGACGTCTGGCTGCCACGACTTGCCGTCTGCGGCAGCGGCGGCGGCGAGCGGATCCCGCAGGGGCAGGAGGAGGAGGAGGGAAAGCCAAGGGGGCTGTGAGTGAGCGGGAGAAGCAGGGTGTGAGCCGGGTCAGCCCGCCGGAGGGAGAACGAGCGAGAGCCGAGCCAGCCATCCGAGCCGCCGCCTCCTCCTCCTCCCCTCGGCGTCCCGCCCCCGCCTGCCCGCCCGCCCTCCTCCCTTCCCAGCCCGCAGGGCCGGAGTGAGGCGCAGCTCGGCTCGCGCCGCTGTCCAGGACAGGTGTGCGCGCGCGCGCCTTCCTCCCCTCCCCCTTCCTCGTGCCCGCCTTGCGCGCGCCCTCCCTCCCGCCAGCCTGCGCCCTCCCTCACCTGCGGCAGGACAGCGCCCGCCCGGGTAAGCCCCTCGCGACCTTCCCTGCTGCCGCTGCCACAGCTCGAGGTGCCACCACCCCGTCCCCTCTAATTGCGCTCTCAGTCGGGGAATAATCATTGTACCATTGCAGACAAGCCCGCATCCTCCCTCTCGGGGACCCAGGCAGTGCAGCAACTCGCTCCCCCGCCCCCCGCGCGCCTCGCAGCGATGAACGAATGAACCCACTCCCACCCTCGAAAAATAACAAAATAACATAACCTTCCCTTTAAAAAAAAAAAAAAAGCCACCTTTCTCCGCCGGCACGAGACCACCAGTAATGCTGGTTTCTTAGCAATCCCTGAACCCTATTTCCCCAGACTACCTTTTCCCTAGGGCCTGGGACAGTGTGCTAGACGTGGCCAACACTGCCTGCAAGGCAATCCTGGAAGGGAGAAGCGTGGTTCCGTAATTTGGACTCCACTACCAACCTCTCCACTCCTCTGCTCAACCCCTCCATTGATACACCCACCCAGGGTGTGCTTTAAAAAAAAAAAAAAAACCTATTGGTGCTGACATTGCAAGTGAAGCCAGGCCCAAGGATGGGTGGGTGGTCCAAAGAAGGCGTTTTTACAGCCCCGTAGAGCTGGGACAGCTCACCGGCCTCCTCTGCCTTTGTCGGGGGCAAAGGGGAAGGATGTGAAGGTCTTCCCTTTTAATGACAGTGGGCCCCAGGGGCAGGCTGTGGTGTTTGTAGGGGTAGGGACCCCACAAATGCATTTATCATAAGCCTGAACTTTGGTAGAGGGCGGCCCAGAAAGACCAACTGGGTAACTTTGGTTCGTAGCTGTCGACCCTGAATAAATGCCGTTTTTCTTCATTTCCGTTATTTCTGCGGGACACCTTTGAGAGTTCTGCTTGGTTCTGATCTGGGCCCCTTAACGTTTCTGTGGGCCAGGTGCCTTTAGCCAGCTTTTCGCAGTGGTGTCTATTACTTGTGTCCCGTGTCCTTGGAAGGGAGGTCCCAGTGCTTTACAAATAGGCTGGATTTGATTTGACATCTTTTGGTAGTCTGTCAGGGGAAAGGAAATTTGGAGATTATTTCAATACCCGCTTCTATCCTTTCCCAACTGGCGTTTACGAATTGCGGCTTTGGACATTGGAGTGTTTACAGAGTGTGGGGAGTTGCTGATTTCATTCCTTTGAGTACAGTACTAGTAAAACCATTTTAAGTATCAGCTGGAAGAGAATGCTTTAACATTTGAATCCGTTCTGTTTGGACCTTTTGGGTACATAAAATGTCGGGTTCTCTGAAATAATAAAAGTATCAAATTTAGAATGTATGCTGAATTTATTTCTTATGCAAATATTTAAAATGAAAACATTTGGGAAATGCAAAGATTCTATCACATAAATTTTTTCTCTTCATATTTTAAATGTTTAATTTATATTTTTATTCGTAAAGATTAATATAGCATTGAAAAAGGCATAATTTTCAAGAAAGTTGAGATGTAGAAAGAGGATATGTTTTTTAAAAATGATCTGTGAAATGCTGGAACTGTAACGTGATGTTGTTAAATGTTAAGATTTTTTGAAAGTTTGCTTAATTTTCCTGGTAGAAGAAATGGGTAATCTGTCAACTTTGAACATTCGAAGTACAATATTCCTGTTAGTCATTGGAATATTGAATATAACTGTGTAGTTTAATCCAAGTAGAACTTGAAAACAAATTCTAATATTCCTTTTCATTTTGAAAATGTGTGCTTTTGTAAAATATGAATACATTGTTTCTCTTGAGAACTCTAAATCAAAAGGGTTTACTAATCAGAGGTAGATACCCTCTCTCAAGTTTATTTTATAATGTGTGTTATTTGCTTTTAAAAACAAAAGTTGAGGGAGATTATTTTAGAATCACTGGTAGTTCACACTGAGGAAAATTGAGTCTTTTTCCTTTTTGTTCTGCCTGTTTCTTTGCACAAAATTGCACAAATTGTAAGAATTTGTTGAACACCTAATGGGATTAAAATAAAATAGCCTTTATGCTGTTTAAAATGTGTGTATAGTGTTAAGAGTTCAAGAAATGTAGAGATCCTTACCAGGTTTTAAAAACGTAAATATATTTGAAGAGGAAAGGAAATATTTGTTATTTTTTCATTAACATGTTAATTTGATACATAATATATTTCGTTTCCCTTTTACCTTTCCTGCATTGTAATGAAATTGTAGATTTAGTTTTCCAACTAGTTGTTTAAAGTAACAGATTCAAACAACTGGAAGCTATACAGGTTTTTCATTCAGTAAGTTAGTATCTGTTTAGGTAATCACAAATGGCTAAAAGAAACTTTTTAAATTTACAGATTTTCTAATGGATCTTCAGTGTTACAATGTAGATACAACTTTGAAATTTTTTGTAACGTTCTATACTTTTTGTTTTAAGATTTTTCTACAAGTTAATATTCATTCTTCCTAAGCTGTCTTTTAAGGCTGCAGTGAGCAACAACCCAAGGAAAGTCGACTTTCACCTCCTATTCTAAGAAAAAGCCCACATTTACGGGCTTATTCTGAAATTAGCCCTCTTGTTTCTGTAATGAAAATATGCTATCCAGTTTATCATTAAATTGTCTTGGAAAAGGCATTAGTCTTCTTAATGCGTGCGTAAAGTAGAAGAGAAGCTGGTATATAAGGGCAGAAATTTTATACATATACAATGGATAGTATAAAATAAGCACATAATAGAAATTGGAGAGATACAGTCTCAATCATTTGCTGATTTTCACTTAAAATTCCCAGTTTAAGTGTGCAAATGATATTTGTGTTGTCTAGAAACTCATCAGTTGCTTCTGCGCTGGAGAACTTACAAATCAATCAATTCCTAGTGACAGTTGCTTTTTCTCAGAAAATCAGGGTACTCGAAAACTCAAAACGCTTTAGAACCCCTCTATGTAGACGTTTGGGAAAGGAGTTGAGAAATTAAACTACAAAGTTAGGCCAGTAAGGTGGGCAGTTTTGAACCCTTCAACTTCTTTCTGTCCCTGGTATAGTGAATATCTGCACGGAATAGTGGCAGGGACCAACAGGCAGGAACCCTCATTGAAATAACATTGGCCTTGTTGCTGCTTTTTGATCCCCAGAGGCAGGGAGGGGTTTGGTCCATCACAAAGTAAACCATTGAAGAAGGGCAGCAACCTTTCTAGATCAAACTTCACCAGATGTTAGTCTCGCTTTAGGAGTGGGAGCCTAACACTCCGCCTTATTCCTAGAGACCCTGCCTTTTCCTTGCTGGATCAGTCGGGGTCTATCCAGGGTCCTGATCGCTCCTGCATGAGCCTGGAGGAGCCAGTGCTTCTTCACACGTTTTTGTGTGAAGAAAGGTCCAAAGGTGTCCTGTATATGCATCTCAACAGACATGGGAATAGGAGAGGGAGTGTGCAAAATTCAAAACTGATGGGCTGAGTAGGTGGTACTAGAGGTTGCCCCCAAATTAAGGAGAAGTTCTTTTTGAGGCATTAGTCTTCTTAATGTAAGGTTTTTACCCTGGGTTTTTCTCTGAGTGAGCCTGTCCTTTAGGGATCCATTTCAGACTACTAGACATATAGGGGTTGGTTCTGAGGCTGGTTCATAGACAACCCCAATTTGCTGTTTGGTAACCAAGGTTCTTTAGTGAGGAGGAGCTTTAGCCTAAAGCCGAAATAGCTAAGGCTGAGTAGAATGAGACTCTTGCTACAAGAAAGAAAAAAAAAAAAAAAAAAAAAAAAAAAAAAAAAAAAAAAAGCTGTAAATGCCTTACAGGTAGATTTACGAAGAAGTAAAAGGATATTTTAGGGGCTTCGAGGGGTCAGGTATTAACAAGGTTAATACCCTAGACTCTTCTTGGTTTCTTGATTACCATGCACTCCCTCCTTTTGGGCAACTTAATCATTTTTTCTGAAGCGAAGCAAATGGGAGACAAGTCTAACTTTTGGGGAAAAGGGAGAGACATTCAATAGGAATGGAATCCACAGATGGAATAGGCACACTTTCCGAAGGAAGTCATCAGTCCATGCATCAGAAAGCCAGAGGTCAACGTGCATAATCCTCTCAGACCCCTGCAGAAGATGATGGGAGAAAATAAGGGATTGGCAAGAGTCCCCCGGAGATAGGCCTTAGCCTTCCTATAGCGCGAGAGCTACACACTTGCAAGGGGCTGTGTAAGCAACTAATACCTACCTGAAAGTTGTAAAATAGGTCTTAGACTATGCATCAGGTCTAGGAAAAAAGAAATCAATGATTTTCTGATCCTCCTCTTTACTTCTGAACTACTTTCTGTTACCAGAGAGGATCCCCTTTAGCTGTCATCTTCCAGACACTCATTGACTAATTAATGGTTGGTAGCCTAGCTGTCTGCATAAAAGTCAACGACCATTTAACTGTTTTATTTGGGGGGGGGGCTCTTCAACACATTTTTGGGAGGAAGAGTAAAGGGTAAGCAAGCGAACCTGCTTTAATGAATCCCGTAAGGAACTGCGTTTCCCAGGAAATTCCTGACATTTTTAGCTCTTGAATTTCCGAAAGCCTTCTTGGTTTTCTCCTCCATTCTAGGTCCTTCCAGAAAGGGAAGAATAGTGGGTTAGGGTCTAAATGTTCGGCAGGGCCTGGTTCATCCGCAGAGCTGGCCAGCAACCCCGGCTGGGCTCTGCCTTGAGCAGGGTGCCCCCCCCCCCTTGCCCAAATCTCAGAAGGAGGAGGGGGAAGCAGACTGGCAGCCCGTGGTCCCAAGGGGGCTGGTTGCAGGTTTTGGGGTGAGTGTGGGGTTTCTTTTAGATTGCTGTTTGGGAGTAAGGGCAGAGCCTATGAGAGCAGGCACTGCGGGCACCCGGGCCCTGGTGCGGCTACTGTCCTCCACTCAGCTCCCCCCGCCGGTGAGTGCGCCCGCCCGCTCGACTGTGCTGTGCGGGGCTGCGGTTGGGGGAGGGGGGAGCGGGATCATCTGAGGCCATAGCCGCTGCCGTGCGCGGGGAGGGGGAGCGGCGGGAGAGAAGGGAGGGAGAGGGGAGGGACAGGCTAGGTGTCTGCTGCTCCGCGCCACTGCTGCCGGGCCTGTCCTCATCCCTAGCAGCCCTCTCTGCAGCTAAGGGTTATCACCACCACCGCACCGCCTCCCTTTCCTCGCCTGCCTCTGCAGCCAGGGGTCCGGGTTCTGCGGTAGGAGACAACCAGGCTGGGTGACGGGCAGGCCTGTCTGGGTTTGCTAAGGCCCGCATGGGAGGGGGTGGCAGTGACTCGGTGTCCCCTCTCTGCGGCTGGCACTGCTGCGCTGCGCAGGCCCCTCCCCCTACATCCTCTCTTTGGGGGTCACGGGAAAGCAGAGCTCAGTCCTCCTTGTGCTTAGTGTGGCAAGTCCCTTCTCACCCTAGTCCCCCAACTCCCCGGGGCCAAGGCTTCTTAGGGTCTGACCAGCAGCGATGGCCACAGCGGTGCTGGTGGTGGCACAGTGTCGGCAGCCGAGCTGCGACGCGGCTCGTCCTGCTCCCTCCCCACCCCCAGCTAGGGGTGTAGGGTGAGGGCAGGCGGGTGGGCGCCACCTGGCGGGCGGGCAGGACAGTGTACTAGGGGCTGGTATGGGGAGGGGGCTCAGGTCACGTGCTGGCGGGCGGGTGGGCGCGTACAGTAGGACACTCTGCTACTGTACTGGGGAGTCAGTGCCCTGTTACCGGGTCTCGTCTGTCTCGTCTCTCCCGCAGATCTCGCGAGAGTGGCTGACTGGCTGTGGGGGTTGCGGCGGCAGCAGGCGGAGCCGGGGAGGGAAAGCAGCGGCGGCTGAGGCGGCTGAGGCGGCGGGCGGAGCGGCAGGCGGCGGCGGCGCGGCGGCGGCGGAGCGCAGCATCATGGCGGACAGAGACAGCGGCAGCGAGCAGGGCGGTGCGGCGCTGGGCTCGGGCGGCTCCCTGGGACACCCGGGCTCGGGCTCGGGCTCCGGCGGGGGCGGTGGTGGCGGCGGGGGCGGCGGCGGCAGTGGCGGCGGTGGCGGCGGGGCCCCGGGGGGGCTGCAGCACGAGACGCAGGAGCTGGCCTCCAAACGGGTGGACATCCAGAACAAGCGCTTCTACCTGGACGTGAAGCAGAACGCCAAGGGCCGCTTCCTGAAGATCGCTGAGGTGGGCGCGGGCGGCAACAAGAGCCGCCTCACTCTCTCCATGTCAGTGGCCGTGGAGTTCCGCGACTACCTGGGCGACTTCATAGAGCACTACGCGCAGCTGGGCCCCAGCCAGCCGCCCGACCTGGCCCAGGCGCAGGACGAGCCGCGCCGGGCACTTAAGAGCGAGTTCCTGGTGCGTGAGAACCGCAAGTACTACATGGATCTCAAGGAAAACCAGCGTGGCCGCTTCCTGCGCATCCGCCAGACGGTCAACCGGGGGCCGGGCCTGGGTTCCACTCAGGGCCAGACCATTGCGCTGCCCGCGCAGGGGCTCATCGAGTTCCGCGACGCTCTGGCCAAGCTCATCGACGACTATGGAGTGGAGGAGGAGCCGGCCGAGCTGCCCGAGGGCACCTCCTTGACTGTGGACAACAAGCGCTTCTTCTTCGATGTGGGCTCCAACAAGTACGGCGTGTTTATGCGAGTGAGTGAGGTGAAGCCCACCTACCGCAACTCCATCACCGTGCCCTACAAGGTGTGGGCCAAGTTCGGACACACCTTCTGCAAGTACTCAGAGGAGATGAAGAAGATTCAAGAGAAGCAGAGGGAGAAGCGGGCTGCCTGTGAGCAGCTGCACCAGCAGCAGCAGCAGCAGCAGGAGGAGACTACTGCTGCCACTCTGCTACTGCAGGGTGAGGAAGAAGGGGAAGAAGATTGATCAAACTGAATGAAAACACACACACACACACACACACACACACACACACACACACGCATACACACACAGCCAGACACAGAAATATACTGTAAAGAGAGAATTAAAAGTTTAAAAAAAAAAAAAAAAAACTCTTTAACTCCAAGGGCGCACCACCCACAGAACCTCCACCAACTGACAGTTTCTCTTCGTGACTTGCCACCCAGCGCTGGATGTTGTCCACTTTATCCACCATATGAAACAGTAAGCAGCTGCTAAAAACAAAAAACAAAAAAATACAAAAAGTAATAACATTATATGAACTGTTTCCTACTTGATTAAAATATAAAGAACTGAGTGTTTATTTCCCTAATTAACCAAGAACTTTTGTACACGTTTAAGCTATTATTAAAAGTGTTTGCAAATGGTCAAGATTATAATATTGCTGAATTATATAAAAGTCCTTTTCATGTTGAGCTAACATTTGACTTTAGCACAAAAAAGAGATATTTTAGAACACGTAAAATAATATTTTTAGTTTTTCTCATTTTGTTACCAAATTTCAAACCTTACATGGAGGCTATTATAGTATATTTGACACCCTATATACCTGTGATTAGAGATGTGTATATATATATGAGGGCTAGGCATGCTGTGTGTCTGAGCTTTGTCTAAATGTTATGCAGAAGTTTGTAGAGTTAAAGGTACGTAGGTTTAATTCATGCAAGGTAAACAATAAGTGCTCTCTTTTATACAATATGCATTGCATCTGGACCTTAAAAAGTGGTCAGTGAAACTTCTGTGAACATGAAGAAATTATTAAAAAAGGCATTTAAATGAAATTTGCTAAGTTGTGATTTTTATGGTTGGAACCAAAGTTATTCAAATAGAAAAAAGAAAAAGAGAAAGAAAGAAAAAGAAAGTCTCCCATAATATTTTTCTGCATCTGTTTGCTTTGAGTAGGCGTTTTGTTATTGTGTATATGAGATGTACTTGTATTGTTCATAATATATTTTTTTTATTATATGTAGAAAGACTTTAAAAACTTAACTAATGTGCAGCAATTTCCAGTGAACCTATACTTGGACATCAAGTAGTGAGTCTATTTGTGGTCACTAGCACTGTCTCCTAAACTTGTAAGAGGTCTAAAGCTATCTTTCTTTCTTTCTTTTTTTTTTTTTTTTTTTTTTTTGCTAGTGCTATTAACTTATGTAGACCTGTTAAAAAGCAGAGCAACACAATTATAGTTATCCTACTGAGCCATGGATTTGAGTTTTGTTATAAAAGTGAGAGCCAAGTTGGTATATGTAAAGGATTTCCATGTAGCTGTGGTGCTAGTTATTACTGGCTACATTATATGCTAAGTGTATTTGTGTTCCCCAAATGTACAAGCCTTCTATCAAAAAATATGTTCTATAACTCATATATTCAAAGCGTAGGGTATGAAAATGCAAAGCTTAGGAGAGCACTTTACCAAGCCAGTGTCCTCCATACTGAAATTGTTTGTAACAGATAGTCTTTTACAGGTTTTCATTTTAAGATGTTTGTGTGCTTTTAATTGAAAACTAACTTCTTGCTGCTGTATAGTAAAATATTAATATATTTTTATCATTAAACTGCTGCATGACTATCATCTTTGAGTGAAGAGAAAATGTTATAAAAAAAGATGCCTTAAACAGTACATTTTGTTTGGAATTCTGTAGAAAGTATTTTGGTAAAAAAAAAAAAAAAAAAGAAAAGGATCTTGGATCTTGTCTGACAGAGAGCTCTGGGATAGAATTGTTTCTTGGCAAATCTAGCCATATAGATCTAACTGCTGTATGTAGACGACTCCACCTGTAGGAGTGAGAAGGTTTACGGTGCTTCTCTTATTGTAAAGCATTGGCCTAGGAAGGTGAAAAAGTTGTCTTTTTGAAGGATTTTTTTTCTGCTGGTTCTTTGGGTTTTGATTTGATATTTTTAAGCTCCCTGGTTGAGTGTGTTGTCTTTGTTTTTGAGATCTACTGTATGTGTTGATTAACAAGCTATTTTCATTGTACTGTGCATTTTCCCATTAAATTGTTTGCTTTTAATATTCATACAATGTTAAATATGAGGTGACCGTACAGTAGTTAGGAATTTCTTTACTTACAAAATCACTGGAAATGATTAAATTGCTTTTCCCCTTCCCCAAGGTGCATTTTTCTTATTTCCATATAGTAAAGTTGAGCTTTTACAGTGCGTAATGTGACATTTGGAATGCTTATCAACTGCATGTAAACATTAATAATCTGCACTTTTTTGTCTTAAGGTTTGTTGAGCTGTTTTGTTCACTGTACTTTAACTGTGATATGGAAAAGATTGCATTCTCTGTGCTGTTACTAATTAGGAAAGAGAATTGCTTTGATTTTGTCTCTTGTTTACTATAACTTTTAAAGTAAAGCCTTGTACTACAGGTTGTTGGAGTACTCCTAGATCAGTGTTTCATAGTAGCCAGCAATAAGTAGTGCAAGTCAACAAAAACACAGCAAACTTAGGCAAAGTGTCCTTTCTTTGAGATGTGAGTTCTTTCATGAGGTTTTCTTTAGGGTCAGAGTTACCTAAAGTGAAGCCTTTCTTAACTTACAGACTTCAGATTCTGCTTGGAATCCTACCGGATCAAGAAGCACATGTATTGTGCAATTATCTTTACACTATAACAGTTGAACACAATCTTACTAGGATTTTGAAACCATTGTCTGATTTATGGTCAGTGGATTTAAAAAGAAATCCATATGCAGATCTTTTAAGACTTAAGAAGTGATCATAGAGAAGAGTAAATGACTGTAAAGATGCTTTTTTTTTTTTTTTAAAGCATTTCACTTTACCTCCTCAAACACCTTCCCAAGTTTCCTTTCTCTACTTTCCTCTTTCATCTTTCCCTACCTTCCCCTTCCCAGGTGCTCAGTACTTTACCAAGGTTCTATATCTCAGTGTTTTATGTTGGAATTTTTCCTTGTTTTTATTTTACTAGTTAGTAAACCCCATTTGTACTGGAAAAAAGTGGTATATTTGACCATATGTGTTATTCATCAAAGACAGTATGATCAAATGTGCCAAAAACAAGCAAACAAAACTTAATTCCTGAAGAGTATGCCTTATGTTTATTGATCTATTCTGTCTTATAATTAAGGTCCAAGAGCTTGGTTAAACTATGTTATTGCCTAAGTAAAAGAAAACTTGAAATGCATTTCAATACTGACATTCTGTAAAATGAGAGACATTGTCAAGTAATTTAATCCAGAGATCAGCCACCAGATTTGAAATGCGTGTGTGTGTGTGTGTGTGTGTGGTGTGTTTGATATTATTCATTGTGGGATATTTTTCGTTTTTTCATTTTAAATCACCAAATCTTTTTTTAAGCTACTTTTTATTTGTACCTCCTATTTATCATGCTGATGTTAGAAGAAGCAGTCATCCAGCCACAGAGGGAGCTAAAGTTAACTAACCAGAACTGTAGAAATAATTATACTTGCCTTTGACAACAAAGGAAGTTCGTAAGAAAAGCCATATCGGCTTTTCCTCTACTAAATACAGATTGGAGATAGATGCATGTTTGCCAAATGGAAAAACAGAATGCTATAGTCAGGAAAGACAAACTGTTTTCCAGCTTCTCAAAAGCCATGGAAAGTAGAAACCAAAATCAACAGGGAAATTTAAAAACCTTTAAGTCTCACTTTCTAGTTGTCCTGTGCAGGTGTTGAAATTTGACTCAAATTGGAAAGTATATCAATATGTTTTTTAGGCCTTCATATCCAGAGATGGATAACTAGTCCAGTTTGGTTTTTCAGGTAATAGAGAAAGCTGCTAATATTTTTAAACCCTGCCCTAGAAGACAGATAATTTCATTTGGGAGCAAATACTTATTGCCTTGAAAAATAGCACTGTAATAGCCTATGATAATTAGTCTTAGAATAACCTTTATCCCTTTCAAACTATGCAAATTATTAAATATGTGTAAATTAGAGTTCAATTAAAGATAGTTGATTATATTGCAATCAGATGGCATTCACAAACTTAACGGGAGCATATACAAATAAATCTATTAGTTTCAGAGTTTTTTATGCTACAGAAAAATATAATTTAGCTACCTATTCTAAAAATGGTGAATATTAATATTGTATAATAAGACTTGGAAGACTGCCTCCTTTTTGAAGAGAGAGATTAAGGATTTTTATAATTGTTTTTCATCAAATTTTAATATTTTTGTCAAATTTTTAGGTATTTAATTTGTAAAACAGTTTGCTTTGTACTGGCATACAGAAAATAGGGTATTGATTTTAAACTTTTTGAAGCCAAGTGATCAAGTACATTTGTAATAAAAGTCAATGGATCTATATCAGTTGTACTCAATGTTTTCATTTCTTATTAACATAGGGATGCTATACTTTTTCTGCAGGAAAATGGAACTAAATTTGGGTGGAAGGGAGGGGAAAGATGAATCTGTTGATAATGAGAATCTGGGTGGGTTGGATGGCCCAAGCACTTTATATCACTGATAAGTCAGTTAAAAATTAATGCTGTATATTTTTAAAAGATGCCATGTCACCTATTTTCTTCCTGGTTTCTTATGGAACTTCATGTTTGGAGAGATTATCTCATTCATTTTTGTTTCTGTGCTTTAACATTTTGTGTTTTGGCCCTGTGAAACTTTCCAAACTAACACATTTGTCTTTTATGGCATTTTAGTTTATATATCAGGGATGGTAACTCCACCATGAGCGTTAGTTGTATCTCCCACACATGGCTCACCCTCTCTTCTACAGTAGTTCCACTCATTTTTTTTTTCATGTTGTATTACACATATTTCCAGATGATTTTAGAATGGGGCTTTTCAAATTGTTGGTGTGGCAGCTTTCATATGTTCACAATTTCTTTTAAATGTGAATGTACTTGTAAAATTTTCTTCTCCATAAAATGAGATACTAAGTCTGTTGACTTTGTTTTTCAAAGTCTTTTGAATCTCATTCTGATTTCTGTGTAAAAGAATGCTAAAAACAAGGGCATCTTTAGCAATTTAAATTTGAAATAGTGATGACACTAAAGTTTATACTTGATTATCGCTAACTTGAAATGTCATAATAATTTGGAGGTATATATTGTCATGAGTGGAATAAATAGGAGAGAATTTTTTTGAATTAAACAAGTAAATTCACCAAAATTGTTTGTGCAAAATGGTCTATTACATTTTATCAATTTAAATAATACGTTGTATTTCTACTTTCTTCATTGTCTATTAATTAGAGTTAGGCTACTTGTAATGAAAAACACTAGAAAGTGATCACTGCTATTAAAATTACTGTCTTCAGTAATATTAATTGCTATAGAATTGTCTTTGCAGACTTTGTGTTGTACTTTTAAAAAAAGCTGATTTTAATATTTATGAAATTATTTGATACTCAAGCAAAACCCAAATTTAAGACCTAGGCCATTTGGCTTTTTTTTCTTAATGAAAATTTCATTAGTATAGGCTAAGTGAAGATGATCTAGACTAGCATTAGTCTAAGTCAGATAGAATTTCAAGATAGAAGAACAGCCAGATACAAGAACAGATGAAATGTGGAAAATGCGATGGGTTTTAAGCCAAGACTTTGTCATCTTTCATCTACCAAACTGACTACCAGATTTTGATGTTAAATAATATAGGCAATTTTTTTTTCTTTAGGAAAGCTGAGTATGGCAAAGATCACTTGTTAAGAGCATTTTAAAACAATTTCATACCTACGTATTTTTATTTTATGTTCATATTACATTTGGTGTTGTTTCCTTTCTGTTTCTTGACATACTTTGCTTTTGTGGTGCATTGTCTTCTTGATAGGTAGAAACATGGTGGTGATTGTGTATGTAAAATAAAGCTGTTTCTTATGGATGAGAAATATTTTATGAATTTGGAATTACAAGATTTTGTGCTTTCATAAATATTTTGTTTTGATTATTGCTAGTGATTTACTTATTGAATTTTTATAACACTTAATGAAAAATTTAATTGTCTTTATTTAGGATCTACTTTAATAATCAGTAGGCTTCCAGGTTTAAGGACCAACACCTTTTATTCTAGATTTGTGAAAAATGTGGAAATATTCTTGTTGTATATATTTTGACCTAAGATGTGTTAATCAGATGGCTTCTAGGAAGATGTAAGAAAAGATGTTTGTTGTGAAGCAGCAGTTAAAGTTATGGCACAGGTGACTTCTAGTCACCTTTACTAGCTCAAACAGTGATGACCATGAGGTTAAAATTTATTAAAATTATATTGAAGTTAAGTCAAACTCCCATTTAGCTGGAGTGAATTGACAATCTCCAGTGCAATTAATTGTGTTAGTGGCTTTAAGCTACCATTTATCTTATATGTCTGACATCTTGTTTCTCCTAGCCTTTTTCTTTGTTTCCTTTTTGTCTTTATTCTTCTTGCTATAGGCCTGCCAGTGGCACTCAAGCTTACCCACTTCAGAAAGAAGTAAAGACATTGCTGACTCCTGCCTTAGAACATAGCTAACCTGGTGATCCAGAGAGATTTCTGTATTATGAGGTAATTGGACAGTTGTTTTTTTTTTTCTGTTTTCCCCTTGAGATTTAAATCCACAATTTGAAGAGCATCTAAATTAGTCTTAAGAAATTTTGGAGAGAGTGAGAAGTATGTGTCTTTTACTTGAGTTTCTGAGAACTGAGATACTGGTTTGGAAGTCTGAAAGCAGGAAGGGGAAAACTGTTTAAAATGTTTGTGAATGGAAGTATGAGATGGTTTGTTTGTAAATTGGGGGGAATTTTTATTGGTTTAGGAAAAGATGATAAGATGAAGTCTGAATGAGAGTTGTTTTTTAAGAACAATTAAGTTGATCTTTATTTACTAAGGAAGTTTCAGAAATGTCAGAGAAAATGGGTCCCTTGTTGACTGAGAGAAAACTGTTGGTCAGTAATTAGTTATGATGATGACGATGATGATGATGATGATGGTGATGATGGTGATGCATTGTACAGATCTGTTTGTGTGTATAAGATGTTTGCTTTTCTGGGACAAAATCAACTAGCATAATTGGAATGGCAACTTTTCTAGTAATGGCAAGTTGGTGCTAAGGACTTACTATTTTGAAAAAAACAAGATACGAAAATTTCCAACTTTTTCACAGTTACCATTTTTAAACTATCAGTAATATTTATCTTTACAGATTATATTTTCTTGGGCTCATCCCAATGTAGTTTACCTTTAGGTCTGTATCCAAAGAGCCTTCCTTTTACATAAACTCTAGCCTTTTCCCACATTAATTTCTTAGAAGAACCAGGTAAAAACACTAAGTTGCAGTTTTAGGTATCTTGTCTGTTTCTTTTACATTTATAATCTTGGCAACCATTTAATATTGTGGACTTTCTAATCCTTTCATAATAATATATTTCTGCAGTTAGATTACATACTCCCTCAACTTGTGTTTCTGTTTGTCTTTCTACTTTTTCTCTTACTTTAAAATCGTAGTCTTTACAAGAGATTTTTGATGTCAGATGTTAATTATATAATTTAGCGCAGCTTGGTTGTTCTTTTGTAGAGTGAGGTGACCATTTCATATTCTGTCCCCTTAACTCCAGGGGTGTTTTAAATTATTTAGGATAAAGAATTGCTATAACATTTTTTTAAGTTACATGACTCAGATATATTTGGATTAACTCTTTGTTGGCAAATTTAATATGAATTATTCCCTTTGACAAGTACTTCTAAGTTCCATTTTAATCAGATCTCTGTACATTCATGATAAAAATCTCTTTTAAAATAACCCAATAAAAGAGATTCTAATTTTGTACTTGGAAGGTAATTTTTCATTTTTACACATTTCAACTTCATTAACAGTAGGATTATTTTTATATTGCTTATTTTATAGAGTTGACAGTATAATTTTTGCATTTTATTGTGTGTTATATTTTAAGTTATAGTAACATACTATAACTTGTTTAAGTCAGTGCAAAGCCTTCTTACGTAGTCCCTCCTTTAGGAATTGGCTTAAAAAGAAGTGAATCCCAAACCTGTGTCAAGAACGAGTGGTTTTAAGTAACTGTGAGACAAGTCTTTGAAAGACTTTCTTGAGTCTAGTCAGTGGAAATGATAGCCCAATTCCATGCTGCATATTGTTAGGGTTTTTAAAGTTGTTGGTATGTAAAAGTGCATAAAAGATGATGTAAAGTTGCCTATAAAATTTGTATTTTTCATTGTTTGCACTATTTATCTTTGCACTTGATTTTTTGAAAGTTAAGACTAGTCACTTTCACTTTTGTTTCTAGTCTTTTCTAATTTCTTGCAAAATTGTTTTCAATATCCCTCCCAAAGCAAAATGTATATGCAATTAAATATACTTTTTAAAGCCAAGAAAATATTTAATCTTAGCTATGTAATACAGAAATTTGTTTTGATAAAGATTTTAATAAGGCCCTTGATTTGCCAATAAAATCCTTTGTAAATGTGAGCTTTATTAAACATTTTAAATAAAGTAAAAGCTTAGGATAGTCTTATCTTTGAGAGCTGACTTCCAGCCTCAGATAACCTGGTTTTGGAATATTGGTCTGTTTCTACTTTAGTTAATGAGATCTGAGTCTTACTGGGTACATGCTTAAAAAAGTGGAAGTGAAGTAGGTGGCAAGTAGCATCTGCATGTTTCATATAGTTTTTTCATGATGTTCATATTGTTTCCTCATGGTCTATGTGATATAATTGGTATTGAAATAATTGATTAAATGACTGTTGCTTTTTGGAATTCAGGATTGACTCTTTTTTGAGAGAGGGGGTGCAGCAAGGGATAAGAGACTTTATTTTAACCAGAGGCAGTCTTATAACCTCAAAGATGTTCTCTGAAAGAAAAGAACAAAAAATGTACCTGTAAGCCTATTTTTTTTTAATTTAATTTTTTTCTTTTTGAGACAGGGTCTCTCTGTGCAGTTTAGGCTGGCCTTGAGCTCACTTTGTAGCCTAGGCTGGTCTCGAACTCAAACGATCCTCCTGCCTCAGCCTCCTGAGTGCTGGGTGTAAGCCTATTTTTTTGTGTTAGGTTGTATAACAGTATTTATAATTGCAAAAAAGAGAAGATTTGACAGTTTTGTCAATTGAACAGAGAGATGTGTTTGGGGTTAAATTGTTTTTTGTAAGTTATTTCATTTAATATTCCTTTTCCCATCATTTTTGCATTCTTAAAAGCAACAAGTGAGAGGCCTCTTTCAGTTCTGACATATTTTCAGAATGCCCAAATGTGTTTCTGGGGAGGAGGGTGGTGTTTTAATTCTTGACATGCTCCTTTCAGCATACTTTGCTAATCATTCTGGATCATATATTGAAAAATTGTGTTGAAAATTTGATGGTATATTTAAAATAAGAATGTCCTCTATATCATGGTATGAATGTTTTGTGGCCAGATTCTGTTGTGGAACTCAGAGCTTTGTTTTTAATTTGACTAGAAAATTTAACTTCCATTGTCTAGATTTCGCTGTTTGTAGTTGTCTAACTATGAATCAGTTTGGAGGAATAAAGGTTAACAGATATGGATTTGACTCTACATAATCCTCTATAAATCATAAGTTAAAGGCTCACATCATTAGTGTTACCTAATTTTTGTGTTGTCAGGTCTTATATGGATGATATATTCAGTATTATATCTATGAATTTCCTTTAGGAAAAGAGAGAAATTGAGTCTCTAAACTTTTTCTTGGAGACTAAATTTACCACATATGGAAAATTAGTGGCTTTATTTTTAGATGACGTTTAACCAGCTTAATTAATTCTTTTTTCTAGTTTGAAATACTTATTTCCCAACTGTGAATGAAGGGAGAGATAAATATTTGCCTCTCTCAACTCTTTTTGGAGGCTGTTTTTCATTTTCTGCCCCCAATTTCCAATCATAGTATAAAATGAATTACGGGTACCCCTCTAAATCCCTGTAATCCTTTTTGGGGATCACAGATACCTTTGATAATCTGACAAAAGTGATGGACCCTCTACCAGGAAAAAAAAATGCACATACACAGATAATTTTGCATACAACCTCAGGGGCATCACACATCTTCTGAAACCTAAGTTAAGGATCTATGCTCCAAGTAAATTCTGTAGAGAAAATTCTAATGCAATTATTTGGTAAAATTAGGAACTGTTGACTTGTATTGCAGTTATTAGATGGTGGCCCCTACTAGCAAAATGTGACATTGCAGCCAGCTTTGTTAGACATTGTAACATCCAGACAGAAAGGAAAAAGAAGCAAGGTTCTGAGAGCTACTTAAAAGGAGTCAGGGCATCTCTAGATGTGGGAGCCGTTTTTGGTTCAAGGCAGGGGTCGGGGTGCCTGACAACTTCTAGCAGGGTAGAGTTTGATAAACCACAATGCTCAGGATGCCAAGGGGTTAGCCATTATCTTAACCCCTTCCTCACCAAAAGATTTTAGTTTTGTCTATTGGGAAACAAAATGTCACTAGGGAAAAAAGATTTGCCTTACAACTGCTGGAACACATCAGTGTGATGATGTATGTATGGGACACTAGTATTATTTTTGAGAAGGTGCATAAAACCAAAGTAAATTATTCTCTATATAGAACATTATTTACTAGAAATATTTGTTTGAGTAAATTAGCTTTTGTCAATTTTTACCAGTAACTTGATTTTATTTGAAACTGGGAATCTAGTTTATAAATAGGATAGTTGATATATCCGTTCTTTCCCCCATGTAAAGGATAGTTTAAAGATTTATGCATACTTTTTACTTTCTTGATGCCATGGGATAGGGTGGGGGTTGGGGGTATCTTTGAGTCAACAACTGACAAAATGTCAAATTTAGTCAAATTTAAAAATCAAGAAGCAGCACTTTAAGTCTAACTCTACACCATTTTAGTGCATGTGTTAGTTTTAATAATGATTTTTGGTGCATGCCTTTGGGCTTATTCAAAAGTGTACAATAGGAAAGTATATTTCCTTTCTTAGAAAGGAGATGTTTTTCTACTTTGCAACATGTGATTACAAAAATCTTCCTCTGTGGGAAGATTAACCATGTATTGAACTACTGAGAAGTATATATTTTTAGATATACAGAAGGAATCTACATGGAGCAGCATTCAGACCTATATAGAAGTCATAGCATTCTGTATAGGACCAAAAAGGAAGTAACATTAAACACTTAAACAGACCTTGTTGGGTAGAAATACCTTAGATCTTGCATTGACTTCCCAAAAGAATATGCCACAGAAGTTTGTTGAAACTTTTGTTGTTTGAATTTTCTCTGTCAGTATATTTAACCCAAATATAACAACAGCTTTGGGTTAGCACATATGTAAGAATCAAAAACAACTAAATAGATCAGTCTGGTTTGTCAATCCAGCTTGACTGAAATAAGTACACTAATCACTTGCAACATGAAAAACTGTCCAACTCCTCTAAGGTTTTGACAAAATAACCTTGGCTGATGTGGGAAGACTCCCACTTTGATTTCTGACCTGACAGTGAAGATTCATGCTTGACATGATTTCAAACCTGACAGTGTCTGTTTAGGGAGCCATGGTACAGTTTGCTAATTCAATCCCAGATACCTGTTGATTACCTGTGAGATCTAGAGTCCAAAGTAGCCAGCAGCCATATCCCTGAGTGCTCTGCCCATCAGATAAAGTAAGCAGGGTTGGGACAGGTCACAGCTTGGATGATTGACCTCAGGTGCTGTAGACAGCCTCAGATTCAAGAATTGTATATGCATTCTTGGGAGTTGTCACTGAACTAATGTCCCACACTGTGTTACTTAACATAGATGCTCTCTCTTGGTGGAGGCCCAGAGCACGCATGCGAATTGCTTGTGGTACTCAGAGAGGGGGTGCTAACTCTGATGCCCTGGCCAAATTCCAGTTTAGGGATGTGGGTCTTCTTGTCATTCTAATTGGAAATGTGCATCACTTCCCATTTTTCCTGTTGATCTCAATGCAAACTACACTAGTCTGTTTCTTTGCCCTGGTCCCAAAGTCTCTAAGATACTGGTGTGTATTATATGGGCCAAATTCATGCCTTATCCCAATGCACAAGAGTTGAGGAGTAAGTGAGCTGGGTCAGCATGCACTGTGATTGGAGGATGAACTCTTGTGATGCTAAGGGGATGAAATTGGCTCTCTTTTAGCATAATTTAGGGAATGTGCACTGGCAGGAGGCTTCCAGCCATGAGGTATGAGCTGAAACCAATTTTCCCTCTTTTCTTATAGAATGATGAGGAAATCTGTTGGGTTTTCAGCGGTCAGGGAAGGCCGGAGTTCTGCAGCTTTAATCTGGGTAACTGAGGCTGGTTTGAGCAAGACTTTGGTTAATTAATTAGGTTCTCAGATGCCACAGACTCCGTGAGAAGTCACCATTATTTTCAATGGTTGTGATAGAATTTCCCCCTAGTAGCCATTATTTTAAGATTATATTGCAGAGTTGCTTTATTTTGAGCTTTTCGTGTATACACAATCCCAAACTGGAAGAAATTTTTAAAAAGGAATCCTGCTGTGAAAGGTATATATTACTCTAGATTTTTCTTACTGTAAATATTGTAAGATTGTAATACTGTCAATATTTTATTAACCAACAAATGTTAATCTATGTGAATTCAAACTTATTTTAATGTGCTTCTTATTTACTGTGTGTGGTCCCTGTTGCTGACAGTATTGAGTTATATTCTGATGTAAGATTAACTTTATTAAAGAATGTAAACATTAATGTTTCCTTATGGGAAAACAAATAAAGTATAAAGAAGACAATTCTTTTCATTGAAATATACTGTGTATTTACACTTGCTAGACCCAGCACCACTTATGAATTTAGTATACTGTTCAGAATTTTAGTTAACACAGCTGACATGATTGTGCTCTTTTTGAAAGTCTAAGAGTAGGTATTGTTGGAATATAAACAGTTTGTATTTGTCTGCTGTGAATCATCATCTTGAAATTTCTAATGAAGTTTGTAAAATTTTTATAGTAAAACATTTTAATGACAATTTAAAAATTTATCTTCTCTAAAGAATGGTCAAAACAATATCCTTTCAGAAATAGAATTGTTCTTTAATATCTTTCCAAAGTGACTTTGGTTAAATGGACCAGATGTACATTCGTTAAAATTTAGGATGAAGTTGTTGATATTCTTTGAGTTTACAAGTTAATCCTCATTGGAGATGTGCCAATATATAGTAGAATATCATTAATTTGCACTGTTTGGGGACCCCATTCAAGAATGTTGAATTTTGCCAACTAAAAAGTAAGCAAATGCAATTTAAAAAGTAAATTTGAGCATTCTGTATTAAATATGTGCAGTTATTATCACATGAAGAAGCGCAGTGTGTTGGGCTGTAATATAACCATATTTGCTGTCATGTTCTCCCATCTCAGTGCTGGGAACTCACCATGTGGAAACCAAGCAAACGTGTTGTGCATCAGCCGGCTTGAGTTTGTTCAATATCAAAAGCTGAAACTAGCGAGGTCTGCTGTACTGCTTATTGAAGTATTGTGATTCTTTTAGGCATTGATTCTTACAAAATATATACTGTAACAGTATACTTTGTACAGATTTAAATTTTATTTGAAAAAATGAAATAAAGTAGGCAAAAAAATAAAGATGTTTATTTTTCATGTGACTATATAAACAGATCAGTGTTTTGTTTCAGTGCTTTTTTTGGGGAGGGGTTGGGTAACTCTTTGATTTTTTTTTTTAATAAAAACTATTTTTACCATTGGGCAGCAGGTATACTACTTCTTGCCCATTATAATCATTAATTAGCTTTGGCATTAAGTTCTCTTAGCAGAAGCAAAATTTTTGTTTTACTAAAACAGATTTATTTTTCAGTGTTTTACGTGAATAACTCCCTGTCCAGCTTCTTGAGTCTGTTTTCTGATAGTGCAAGAGTTAATGAAGCCATCACACTGGAGAAGGAAAAAAATTTCCTATAGATCGTGTATAGAAGGTTTTCTGTTCCCTGTCAATTTAAATTTGAAATTGATTTAGGGTAGTAAAAAAGGTTACAGATGAGTCCATCACAAGAGATAGAATCCTGTATAGAAAATAGAAGTTGTGCTTTAGAATAAGATCCCTTGGACCTAGGAATATAGCTTAGTGGCAGAGCACTTCCCTAGAATGCTTTAAGTCCTAGATTCAGTCCCCAGCAACAAAATAAAAACAAGTTCTTAAAAATAATGACAAGATGATGATTTTTCAGGACGATTTCTCTTGTTTTGTTTTGTTTCTTGAGACAAGGTCTCACTAGTTCAGACTGGTGTTGAACTCACTATTTAGCCCAGGCCAACCTCAAACTCATGGCAATTCTCCTGCCTCAGCCTTCCAAATGCTGGAATTACAGGTGTGCACCATCACATCCAACTGAATTTAATGTTTTATTTGTAGCTTGCTCCACTTTATCATTTCTACTTTTAGGCTAAATATAAGGAAGGCAGGAACAAGTAGGTCTCCAAGGTTCTCGGCAAAAATCATATCATAGCATATCTTCCAATGTTATTTAAATGTACGTGACAATCACCATATTCTAAAAACTGAAGCATGATTCATAGTATTAGAGTTTCAGACTTCCTTAGATGAATCCCAAGAGAATTTGTTATTGTAATTACTGTTTTGTTGGTTTTCTTGCTAAAATAGCCCCTGTTTGTAAAGAACAGTTGGAATTGGAATAACTTCCAGGCCTGACAACTAACAGATCATAATAACAGTGAAGAAATTTTACTACCAAAAATTAAAACCAGGATAGTGATGCCAGTACATACCTTTAACCCCTGCACAAGGCCCTGGTTTTAATCCCCATTATTAAAAAAAAAAAAAAAAAACTGAGGGTGTCACAGATTTGGAGAGGTAAGTGAAGAGCCTAAGAAACTTAAGTTTTCTGTAGGTTCTGTGGTGCTTCTGATTTTAGGATCACAAAAAAGACAGGTGAGTACTTCCTGAAAAGAGACAGAATTCTCCCCTCTCCTCAAAGAGGGGTAATATGAATCCATGGGTCCCAATCTGAAAGGAATGTTCAGAACATGAGCTTGTGGTGAAAACTAGCCAAGATTTGCTTCTAGTAAATATATGAGAGTAAAAAGCCAGGGACCTGGCCCATTTTGTAATTGTCCCGTGGCCTTAATATTTTAAAGACACCAAAAGGACCATGATAGAATGTCCAGCAATCAGTTTGAGAGCAAGAGACCTTGAGGGTGGTCCTACTATAGGGCCATAAGGAAAACATCCCAGACACAGGATCAGTATGAACTACAAGGCAAGATTAGTAGGGCCATTAGGCCCTTCAAGAAAGGACCCCAACATAACATGCTCAAGAACTTTTGTCAGTTTTCTTTAGCACTTCCTTTTCTAACTACATAATTGGCAGTCTCTTCCAACTCCCACCTCCAATGGATATAAACCATTTGACCATGTGGTATGTAATGTACTTCAGCTCTTTTGCATCGTTTTTAGAAATCTCTTTGTTGCTAATTCCAGTAACAGTTGCTTTCAAAGAAAATGGGACTTTTTTTTTTTTTTTGAGGTACTGGGTTTTGGAAGAATTCTGCTCATTTAGGATCAGAGGAAAGGTATCCCTCTTTTTCAGACTGCTAGCTCTCCTCAAGACCAGCACCTGTCCCCACCATTGTCACTTCACAATGTTGTACTACACTTCTGGAATTTAAGTAGGAGGAGCCACATTTTTTTTTCTGGAAATGGGAATTGCACTCTAATCTTGTAAATCTCCAGTTTTCCTACCAACATTGATTTTCACTCTGATTTGTTTAAATCAACCACTAGACATTTAGATTGGCAGTGAAGGAATGTCACAAAACAGATTCATTGACTTGCAACGTTTAAAAGAATAGGATATCCCTACACTTGTAGCCAGCAGGATGATTCAGTTAATCCTGTATCACTGGCATCCTGTCTTTCCCATCCTGCTGGCCTTATACCACAGTGAACTTCCCATGGAGATTGGCATTGGCTCCAACCTAACTCTACTTTCTGTCTTCAGCAGTGGCACTAAGGATCCTACCATCCTAAATTTTTCTGAACTCACCATTTTCTTTCTTTCTTTTTTTTTTTTTTTTTTTTGTCTTTTTCCTTTTTATCGGTACCAGGGATCAAACTCACGACTGCCTGCTTGCAAGGCAGGCGCTTATGCCACTGAGCTAAATCCCCAGCCCTACCATTTTCTTTTTAATATTGAGTGCTTAAGATACTCAAGACCCAAAGCTGAGCATTTTACCTAGTTTATTTCATTTCATTCTTACTGCAACCCTAGGAAATAAGTACAATTATTGCCTCCATTTTGCAGATGAGAACAGTAGGGTACAGGAAAACATGCCCAGTGCTCTACAGTCAGAATTAAAAGTTCACATAGGCTGATTATCACAGCACATCCATGGTCTCAGTTACCCTTACAGTACTGGCTGCCCCATGAGGTTCTGCCTCCACATTCCCTACTATGTAATGTCTCCTTTGACACCACCTTATCTCATGGTTTATTTATGGTCTGGTCTGTTTGGGTTGTGTTGGGTTTGAGACACGGTCTTGTTATGCAGTTCAGCCAGGCCTTTTACTCACTAGGTAACCCATTCTGGCCTTGAACTTACAGCAACCCTTCTGCTTTAGTTTCTAGAGTTCTGGAATTACAGGCGTGCACTACCACACCCAGGCCCTCGTGGCATGTGTAGCTGGACAGTATCAACCAGTGTTCCCTATACAAAGGAGAGTTACTCTGCATAGCTCAAAACCACATTTCCTGTTCTGGAAGTTGATTCATAAATGAATCCACATTTTCATTTCTCCTTCCTTTCATGGGAGAATGACTTACTCAGAGCAGGTCTGAAGGAAACTATTAAATGGATCTCTCTACTGCTCTTGCTTTAAGCAAGCATGTCCCTGAGTACTGTTCCTGCCAATGACCTGAACAAAGAGTTCTGAATACGGGTCCTGAACTTTGTCTCCTTGAGTTGTCAATTTCCTTCTCCTACTTCCCAGATACTAGCCCCTTGCAAATACTTTTTCTTCATTACAGCAGACCTTCTATCTAATCCCGTGTGGCTTTAGATGTAAGCTCAACAGCAAGGATCAGGAGGCAGACTCTAGTATGAGAAAAACTGGGTGCTTCCAGATTCTCAAAACTTCACTGTTCACCAACAGTTGGCTCCCTAATTGGATTGCTAGAATAAGTTGTGCATAGAGGGCTAGGGATCTAGCTCAGTGGACAGCGCCTACAAGTGTTAGGTTGTGAGTTTGATCCTTGGTTCCTCTCCAGAAACATAAAGAAGGGGGAGAGGAGGAGGAAGAAGAAGAAGAGGAAGGAGGAGGAAAAGGATGAGAAGGAGAAAGGAGGAGGAGGGAGAGGAGGAAGAAGAGGAGGAGGAAGAAGAAAAAGAATCAGTTGTATAGTTTCCAGTTAGTTTTGCTTGGGTTTTTAAGTTTCTGGAGGCATTTTCTTATGCCCTCTAAAATGTTATTGCCCAGATGTTTCCTGATCTTCAAGAAGAGATCCAGAGTCTCCAAATGCTTCTTCCAAAAATAAAATCTCAAATTCCTCAGGATTTAGAAGCACTTTAGAGGGCTGTGACATCTGTTAGAACTCTTGTCTGAAAGGGGAATATCATAATTTGAATTTGAACCCTTTGTGATTTTTTTGTATCCTCCAAAGCATGGTTCTAAAAGTATGGACCCTGAACCAAGAGTAGTAATTTTCCCCTGGAAATCGTTGTAGATACATGTTCTTGAACCCAGCCCTGGGCCTACCTAATCAGAATTCTGGGTCTGGGGCCTAGCAATCCCTGTTATCATAAGCCCTCCAGATAATCCTGATGCAGAGTAAAGTGTGGAATCATTGCTTCCTAAATTGAAAGTTCTTTAACTTTAAATGCTGGAGTCTTAAGTTTGAAAATCTGATAAAAATGTGGGACTCTCTCAACTGCTTAACAGACTTCTACCCTGAAGGTCCAAGTTAAGAACTCCTAGTGTAGAAACTTGGCTTGTCTGTCCTTCCCTGGCTTCGACCTACTTTTAGCACCACTACAAGAATGGTGTTCATAGACTCTGTCCTTCATCCATGTACTGTTAGGTGTCACTGAGCATGTGCATCTCGTACCAGATAGGACAAGGGATAAGGGCTTATTGTTCCCTGTGGGTGCTGCCACTATATGATAAACAAAATCCAAATGCTCTTGCATGGGCCACCAGGCCAGAAATCTGGCTCTACATAGGTGACTTCTCTTGGAGTTGGGATCTGTTCTCTGAAGCATACTGCTTTAGCAGAACTACTAAAACCTGTTAAGCTGCCTATGACAGTGCCAGTCAGGGTGAGTAGATTACAGCTAGAGCTTTGTCAATAACAACTTTTGGGGTCTCCTGAGAGCTGATAGGATAGGGCCCAGCCTTTGATTCACTGGCTAAAAGCATCTCCTTTTTATCTTCATCAAGTGTTTTCACCCAAGTAGCCAGTGAGTAAGACAAGCTTGGGGATTGGTATTCAGCTTTTCCCCCACGGTCATTCTTGGGCCTTGACTTGAACTATCATGCAGAACAACCTTATTGGAAAAAAATCCTGCCTCTAAAACTGGGGCCTCTAAGAAGGAAACTGAACTTCATCCAGCCTACTATGAATCTCTCACTCTGACTGGTAGA